TGAGTAATGGCTTAAACCTAATAATCTTTAAAAAAAATCTTTCATTTACATTGTGAATTGACACAATATAAGTAAATTGATAAAAAATACTAACACTTTAACTACTATGTCTCCATAAAATAAATTTCTAAAACTGGCTATTTTATCGAACATTTCCGGTTTTTTTTCGTCATAAATAAAGCATTAGTAAAGTGCTTCAAATTAATACACAACCTTGCAATAGCTTCAAAAAAAGTTTTAAATTGTTATGCATCTGGCCTTACCATAATTAAAAGTTATTTGTGTTTACAAACTAAAGACTTAAATTTTTTTCCTTTTTTGCCACTTTTTAAGGATCTTGAACCACGGTGCGTCGCGCAGTTTATATTCATCACAAGGCCTGATATATTTATATATTTTCTTCATATCCTAAAAGGCTGCAAGCAACCACTATTAGAATTAGAAGTTAGTGGAAGAGAAAATAATAAATTTACAAAGTAAGATAACGATTAACAAACAAATTAAAAGAGTGCAAATTATATGAATCAGGAAAATAAGATAAAGGAAGTGAATATCAAAGAACTGATGTTCGAGGAAAAAAACTAGAAGGATAAGAATTTTTGGAGCACTTAGAAACAGTCACAGTAAAAGGGTGACACTAACTTAATGACAAGTAACACAAGAATAAATTTTAATAGATGGCAAAACAGATGCTAGCTCCTAAGAGCAATGCCCATTATAGTATTTATAAAAAAAGAGAAAGAGAAACAACATTACAAGCAAAGATATGACAGCGGTTGAAGGCTGGCTGTAAGTAGTAAGTAAATCGATTTGATTCTTAAATCAAAAGTGGGTTCTATTCGGGATTCGATTTGAAAAAAATGATTCTAATTTTTTAAATCACTATTTATTTTGTGAGTGTTATTGTTTTTTTAGATATCCAACACGAAGATGCTATCAAGATATTTTTATTTATCTCAACCAAAGTAAAGTAATTGTAATCAAAAGTAATTGTAATACTGCTTTCAAGCAACTGTGAAAAAAATATTCCTGGCAAAAAAAAATTTTGTGAAAAAAGATGCCTAAATTTAGATTTCCTTTTTAACTTTATACTCTTGTTTTGACAAAAAATCTTTACTTTTTGATTGTTTTTAATCTGATCTCTCTTCTAAAATAGTCTAAGGCTTGCAGTGGCTTGTGGATTTAAATTTTGGACTTGAAATCCACAATTTTTTTTAGACAATAAAAATCATTTATTTATTGCAAAAAAATATTCCAACATTGTTAGCATCTCTATATTGACAAATAATAACCCTCTTACTCTCAGACAAAGCACATTGTAAATGTAGTTAGACCTGCCTCATCTGACAAGCTTGAGCCACTCTCCTATTGTTTTGAGGTTGCATTTCTTTTTTTTTTTCTACAAATACCATCATGGTCAATGCTCAAACGAGCTATCATCAATATTACAATAAACCAAAACTCATTCTTATTTGGCTTCTTATTCAACAAGTTACATCCTTTTACTGTATCTGTCCCTTTATGCTATAAAAACTTTTATTAATCCAGTTTTTTTACTTGCACATCAAAAAAACGTTATAACTCTTACCCATCTTCATGTTTTTCTTTTTTATACAACTTAAAACTTTTTAATTCTTTAGTTAACTATTTCCTAGTATTTTAACTTATCCTCTATTTAATGTAACTCATAACTTAATAGTGGTTGCTTGCAATCTTCTAGGAAGTAAATTAGAGTTTAAAAATATACAAATGTATGCCAGTATTTAATAAATAGTAAATGTAAGTTAAAAAAATATAACACAAAAGTATTTAAAATTTTTTTCTAGCCCCGCCTATCAATAACTGCTAAATCTTATCATTATGGTGGGACCAGAGGCCAGGCCAAGTCACATTTTTAGCTGGGGACAGAGCCGGGGCCGCAGTCAATTTCTAGCTGCAAGTGCAGATCCAACTATGTTTACTATGCATTTTTGCACCTTAACTAAAAGAGAAAGGCATTATTTGAAGATCCGCTCTTGATATTTCATACAAAGACGGCCTAGAGATCTATAGAGATAAAGAAGAGTATGAAAGAAGAGAAAGTAATGAGCACAATAAAGAGATGCAACCTTGACATTTTTTAAATTGATTTGATATTTTCAGATATATATATATATATATATATATATATATATATATATATATATATATATATATATATATATATATATATATATATATATATATATATATATAATATATATATATATATATATATATATATATATATATATATATATATATATATATATAATAAATATATATATATATATATATATATATATATATATATATATATACATATATATATACAAATATATATATATATATATATATATATATATATATATATATATATATATATATATATATATATATATATATATATATATAAATAGATTCAATTGAGATCTTTTTGAAAATTCCTATTTCTCCATCATTGTATCTATATAAACAACAGATAAATGCAAAATACCACGAGAGAAACAATTTTTCACTAATAACTGCCAACCAGTCAATAAGCAATCGTCAGTAGCATAATTGACTTGATGTTCCATAAAATTTTGGAATCTCTAACTCTTTTGAATGAAGCACAAGTCGTAAAAAATTGAGTTTCATTCAAGTTAAAGTTTACCAACTACTGAGAAACCCATGCTGTAGCAGAAGTGAGATCATTTTAAAGCCTAAATGCCTCCTCCAAGCAATCAGAGAGTGTTGATTTAATTCTTATTAATTCTTATTATAACAAAAATAAATGGTAGTATCATCAGCAAAACAATGCCACCTTAGATGTGAGAACTTCTGGGAGATTGTAGATATAAATTAAAAAATATATAGGGCTAAGGATACAACCTTAAAGAACCTCTTAAGTTATAGGAAAGAAAGAAGAGTGCTGTCTATCGAGGACAACTTTTATATGATTGGTAAAGAAAGATTTAAAAATCTTAAGAATGTTTTCTGATACACCATAAGAAGAAAGCCTATGGACGAAACCACCATGTCAAACTTTATCAAAGTTAAGAGCGATGGCGCTAACTTCTCCACATCTAATGCACGATAAAACCTATGGGTTATTACTGTTAATAAATTAGCAGTAGAACAAAAAGATCAACATCCATATTGATGATCAGAAAGTAAATTATTAGATTCAAGATGAGAAGTTAAGTGGTAGTTAATTAAAGACTCAAAAACCTTGTTTATGATGGTTTTTGACGGTAGTTAGACAAGTCAGACTGCTCTCCAGAATTTTTGGAAATAGAGATAACAGATGACACTTTCTAACAGGTTGAAAAACAAGACTGATAAGTACTTGCTAAATAGTTTTGAAAGTTTTTTTTTTTTTATAAGGTTACAATTTAGATTTGTATAGGCATGAATGTCTTTCAACCCGTCATACAAATATACTAATAATAAATTGTTATTTCTATTTTTAGATAATTGTCTAGTTTGTTTTTAAATTTGCTAAAAGATGACGCATTTACAATATCATCTGGAAGTGAGTTCCACATGTTGAGTACTCTGTAAGGTGAAAAGGTTTTGTAGAAAAGCTAGATGACAATAAGGTTTTAATAAAAGATTCTATGCCAGCCAGAAGCATATTTGTAAGAAGATGAAAAATTTCGCTTCTAACAAGGTTGCAAGCAATTACTAATTAGTGCTGGAAGTTACTGGAAGAAAAAAGATGAAGATTGTAGAGCAAGATAACGATTGACAGACGACTTGAAAGATTGCAAATTATATGAATCATGAAAGCAAGATGAAGGAAGCTAATTCAAAAGAACTGTTGTTCGAGGGAAAAAACTAGACGAATAAGTGTTTTTGGAGCACCTAGGAACAGTAACAGAAAAAGGATGAGACTTAATTGAATGACGAGTAACACAAGAGTTAATTTTAGTAGATGGCACAAGAGATACTACCTCTTTACAGCAGTGCCCATTATAGTATTTGTAGAAAAAAGAAAGAGAAGCAACATTACAACAATGCGATAATGGTTGAAGGTTGGCAGCAAGAGCAGGTCCAACTATGTTTATAATGCATCTCTGTCTAATAGAGAAAGGGTATCATTAGAAGATCCACCATCATTAGAAGATATATGGCAACAGTATTCCATACAAGGCCGGATTTGAGATTTATAGAGATAGAGAATCGATTGGCTGAAAAAAAGTTTTATCTGAACTAAAGTTCACCAGCCACTGTGAGCCCCATGCTGTAGCAGAAGTGAGATCCTTTTCAAGCTCAAATGCCCCCTCTAAGCAATCAGAGAGAGTTGGCTTTTTATCACGACAAGAATAAATGTTAGTATCATAGCGAACAATGCCACCTTAGATGTGAGAATATCTGGCCAAGGATTGAACCTTGAGGAACCCCTGAGGTTACAAAATAAGAAGAAGAGTGCTGTCCATCAAGGACAACTTTTATACTACAATTGGAAAAAAAGGATTTAATAATCTAAAAATTTTTTCTAGATACACCGTAAGAAGAAAGCTTATGGAGAAGACCAGCATGCCAAACTTTATCAAACGCTTTAGAAATGTCAATAACGACGGCCTTAACCTCTCCACCTTTATCTAATGCACGATAAAACCTATCAATTATTACTTTAACATTATATATATATATATATAATATTAAAGTAATAACTTTAATATTATATAAACCTATAAGGTTATAATTATATAAACCTATAATTATATAAACCTATCAGTTATTACTTTAATATATATATATATATATATATATATATATATATATATATATATATATATATATATATATATATATATATATATATATATATATATATATATATATATATATATATATATATATATATATATATATATATATATATATATATATATATATATATATATACATATATATATATATATTATATATATATATATATATATATATATATATATATATCATATTTATAAGGTAAAACTTAAAATTTAAACCTGCTATCCATAAACAACAAAGAGCAAGTAGATTCAATTGAGATCTTTTTGAAAATTCCCATTTCTCCATCATTGTATCCATATAAACAACAGATAAATGCAAAATACCATGAGAGAGAAACAATTTCTCACTAATAACTGCCAACCAGTCAATAAGCAATCGTCTGTAGCATAATTGATTTGATGTTCCATGAAATTTTGGAATCTCTAACTCTTTTGAACGAAGCACAAGAAGAATTTCATCAGCAATATCATAGTTTTTAATTTGTTCCATTTAGCTATTATGAATACATTTACATAAAATTTCTTATTCAAACTCATAACTAAAAAAGATTTTTTAAATACGTAAAAGTTGGTATTAACAATTTTTTTAAATAAATTTTTTAACTACTTTTATTCAAATTGTAACAATACAAATGCTAATAAAATGTTAAAAAATAAATTCTGTAAAAATAATATATATATAATAATAATAATGGGAGCCGGTCGTGCTTGTAAAATGGCGATTCAAACTAAGTTTAAATATTTGTTGAACATCATTATATGAACATCAAATTATATCTATAGCTGCATGAATAATTCATTAAGATCGATTTATTATCTGGAACTGTAATTATACAAATCTTTCATTTTGTATGAACAAAAGGTGAAAATGATAAAAACAAAAAAAACACTTAAGCCCACATAATGCTGATAAATTAGATGAAGATAGTGATCATTCGATGTCAAACTTAAAAACCTCTGTCTTTAATTGCATTGAATGTGAAATTAGTATTCATGGAAAAAGTGTTGAATGTGGAGTATGTAAAGAATGGTGTCATCTTAAATGTAGTAAACTCACTAATGATGACTTTAATGCAATAACGAAAAATCCAGAGTTATATGGCTTTGTTTTAAATGTGAAAAAAAACTTGTTAAAATGAATAAAAACGATAAAAAAGTGAAATATACATTTATAAAAGAATTATATACTAATAACAAAATATTAAATAAAGAGATCGCAGAACTAAAAATTGAAAACAAGTTAATAAAGAAAGAGTTGCAAGATAAAATTAAAATAAAATAAATCTTAATAATATCAAGCAATGTAAATAGTATATCTGAAAGAACATTTAGTGAAATTGATGTCAAAAAAATTAACAATCATGATAAAATTAACACAAAGAAGTTGATTATGGACAATATCAAACCAAAAGAATTAGGAGTAGAAATTCAACATATCCAAAATCAAAATAATGAAGTTATCATAAGGTGCAATGACGAAAAATCAAAAGACAAACTCTATCAGGAAATTAAAGGAAAATTAGGTGTAAATGTCTCAGTTGAAAAAGGTAACACTGAAAAAATGAAAAGGATTAAATTTAAGATTACCAAACATGATGAGGTATTCAATGAGATTTTGGCAAACGATATAACAGCTCTAAATAATTTGAATAATAAGGCTAAAGTCATAGTTGTGAAAAGAATTAACATGACAAAGAATAAATATGAACTGGTTATAGCTGATATAGATATAAACACATATGAATACATTATAAATAAGAAAAATGGTAGATTAGCAATTGGCTGGGAGTCTGTGCAAATTCGAAAACATATAAATATTATTCAATGTTACCATTGTCAAGGTTACAATCATAAAGAAAAAAATTTTCACTTTAATACTCCTTCATGTTGCTACTGTTCAGGTGATCATTACAGTAAAGATTGTCAAAATCACGAAAGTAATTGGTGTGTTAATTGCCTTAACAAAAACAAAAAATTCAATTTAATGATAAATCCTTAACATTGTGCATTCGATAAAAAATGTCCAGTATATAATGACATTAAAAATAGAGTGGAATTAAAGTATGACAACTAGCAATCAATAGTAGTAAAAGACATTAAAATTGCATATACAAATATAAATGGTCTTATAAATAAACTTGACAGAGTTACACTATATTTACAAAAATTTAAACCTCATATACTTGGATTAACTGAAACCCACATAACATCCTTAATCTTTGAAAAAGAGCTTGAAATTTTTGGTTATTCTTTTATAAATTTAGAATCATCAAGTGCTCATACCGGTGGTTGTATATTATATTATAAAAATGGCATAAAAGTAAATTCTGATCCTAAATCTATCCTCAAGGACAAGTGTCATTGGTTATTATCTACTGAACTAGTCATTAACAAAATTAAGTTTCATTTTAGTGTTTTGTATAAATCTCAGCAAGAGAACAAAACCATCTTCTTGGAGTTTTTTGATACTTGAATTACTACAATTCGTTCAAAAAATATTATCATTCTTGGTGACTTTAACATAAATACACTTTCAAATGACAAACACTCTATAGTACTAAAGCAATCTATCAAAAATAATCAAATGTATATTTTCAACAGTACACCAACAAAAATATCTGAAAAATCAAGTACTTGTATTGACTTAGCAATTTCAAATTGTACTCTTATCGAAACTAATGAAAAAGAAAAACTTTCTGATCATGAAATGATAACTTGTAAATACTCTATCAAAGAAAAAAGACAATTCAAAACTAAAAAAGCAAAGAATATTGTTGTCAACAGTAGTAAACAGAACTTCCATAAAATTGATTATTCTTTATTAAATAAAAACATTTCAGTTGAATTAAAAAATATAAAAAAAGAAATTGATATTGAAGTAACGGCTAATAGTTATACAACAATTATTAAAAATAACATAAATATGCAAGAAAAGTTTTATAAAACGAATAAGGAAATCAACAACAACAATCCATTTATTCTCAATAGCTGGTTAAGGAATTCTAAATACACCGATATAGTAAAAGAATATAATCAAGAATGGAAAACATTTGTTTGGTTTAAATACCATGGTTTTAGTGAAAGCAAATGTAAAATACAGTATAACAAATTTAAAAAAATAAGAAATAAAAAAACATCACTATTAAGAAAACTAAAAGCTGATTACTATAAAATAAAAATTGATTCAGTCAAAAATGATCCTAAAGCTATGTGGAATTCGTTGAAATATCTAACATCTGTCAAACCAGAAATTAAATCAAATATAATGGATGATATTAAATTTTATGAAGAAAATGTTATTAGAAGTTTTCAAAGAGATGACACAAAAAAATCCATTCCAGATAAATATAATGAATTTTTAATCCAAAGTATAATAGATATTGAAACATCAATTCAAAGTGATATGAGTTATAATGCTATGGAAAATTTATCACTAAATGATAATATTCCTTGTTTTTGTGAATTTAGTCCTTTAACTATGCAAGACTTAAATGATATAGTAAATCAATTACAAAACAAGAATTCAATGTGTGAGGGCTTAAATGTTATTATATTCAAAGAATTATACTCATCATTTTCAAGTATTCTATTAAAAATTATTAATTTATCGTTAAAAAATGGGAAAATTCCTTCTAAATGGAAAAAGTCAACAATCATTCCAATTCCAAAGCTAATGTAGCCAAAGTTACCACAAGACTTAAGACCAATTAATATGCTTCCTACTTATGAAAAAATATTAGAAATTGCTGTTCACAAGCAGTTGTCAAGTTATTTTGAAAGTAATAATATTTTTTATAATAATCAATTTGGTTTCAGAACAAATAGATCAACTGAATCAGCTATTCAACTACTACTTTCTAAATGGAGAACATCTTTGAACAACAATAAATTTGTTGTAACAGTAATGCTAGGTCTTAAAAGGGCATTTGAAACAGTTAATAGAAAGATTCTTATACAAAAATTACAAGGTTATAAAATTAAAGGTACAGTACTCAATTGGATTGCAGACTATCTTTTGATGAGAACTCAAGTAGTCAAAATAAAAGGTGAAGAATCTGGCGAACTAGTTTGTGATATAGGGGTTCCACAGGGTAGTGTACTTGGACCTCTTTTGTTTATCATTTACATGAACGATATTGCATCAAAAATTGAGTATTCTTTTGTAAATTTGTTTGCTGATGATACATTGGTTTGTATTGAGGGCACAAACTTGGAAGAAACTTTTTTTAAATTAAATCAAGACTTAAAAATACTTTGTAAATGGTTAAGTAATAACAAACTTAAATTAAATACTCTCAAGTCCATGGCAATGCTTATTGTTAATTCAAAAAAAAGAAAAAATAGTTTAACAAATCATAACAATAACATAAAAGTGATATTGGATGATGTGGTCATTGAATTTAGTGATAGCGTGAAACATCTAGGTATTATTATTGATTACCAACTTAATTTTACTGAACATATCAAATATATCTCTAATAAAATTGCAAAGAAAACTGGATATCTTGGTAGAATAAGCAAATACTTAACTTATTGGACCAAAAAGATAATCTTTCAAACTATAATTGCTCCCCATTATGAATACTGTGCTTCTATTTTTCTTGATGTCAACACAAATAACTTAAATATCCTAAAAAAACTTCAAAACAAAGCAATGAGAATTATATTAAAATGTCACTGGTTAACTCATAAAACAGAAATGTTGAATTTGCTTGGTTGGATCAGTGTAAAAAACAGAATAATTTTAAATCACTCTGTTTCATTCAAAATGTTACATCGACTGTAAATGATATATTTAAACTGTTCTATTCAAAAAATAGCGAGTTACATCAACATTAGACTAGACAAGCTAATTATTTTCATAAAAGCAGCCAATGCAATAGAGCAGGACAGAAGTTATTGTTTGTGTTTGGTTTGAAACTGTACCAGGAAATAGCTGGTGGATTTGTTCAGCTGGACTACAGAAAATTCAAAAAAAAAATTGCTTCAAACAATAAAGAATAACCAACTTATACAGTGAACATTTATTTTGTAAAGGGGATTATTTATTTTGTATAAGTTACTTAACTAGCATTAAGTTGCTAAATAAATAAATAAATAAAATAAAATAAAATAAAAAATATATATATATATATATATATATATATATATATATATATATATATATATACATCATTAAGAAACTGTAGAAACTATCCTCAAAATATCTAAACTCAAAATAAAAGAAATCTTTAAATACCACTTGATTTTATAATACAAACTTTAAATATTTCTGAAAACCAAATACTATATTGCAAGTTGGAATTTCAACCAAAAAAAAAAATTCATAAAAAGTCAATTGGAAAGTATTAACTACTCATCATAACTTTTCTGACATGTTTCTACTATTCTCATTACTCGATCCAAAACAATAGTATTGGCGCTACGGCATGTATCAACAGTATATGGAGGCTCAATTAATGCAATACCATTTACAACAGATAGAATACCATTATCCTGAACAGTAACAGGCAGTCTATTTAACTCAAGTAACTGATAAAGTTTATCTCTACGTTTTAGCAAATCTTCAGAAGTAAATAAATGCTGCTCTGGAAACAGTTTTCTTAAAAAAACTTCTTTGAATTGTAAATACTCTGCACGATTTATATGCTCTATATCCATAACTTGGATATCTATTAAATCATGTGAAAGTACAACTTCAACCATTAAATTTGAAATTTTTTTAGTAATTAACACAACACTATTTGTAACAGGATCAATAGTAAAACACTCTCCACATAACTTCTTACCATTTTTGAATTGTAAACAAACAAATTTATCTATAAATTCTAATTGAGCCATGAGAATCTGAATTTATACAATATACAAAAAATTTGATAAAAAAACATATATATCATTAAAATATAATTAAAAAATAGTAACATACTATTAAATAATAACAAAAAAATATAAATTATAATAGTTACAAATTATTACAGATTTGTTATAAGTAAAATAAACATTGGAACTGTAGAAAACTCATAAACTTCATCATTGAATAAATCATATAATTATTCTGCCAATATTTGTTAAAAATCAAGAATACCTTATTAAGCATTTTTATATTTTAACAAATATTGACAGATTAATAATAAATATCTTAATATTTAAGAGCAATGACATTTTGCAGGTATTAAAACATTTAAGTTCAACACGTTTTTCTTGGATAGGTCATTTCTGACAAATAAATTTGTTGGGAGTTGAAGAACTACCAGTGACAAGTGAAAATTATCTTCAGTTTATGTATAATAGTATTAAATAAAATAAAAATGGAGACAGCTACGAAAATAAGATTATAATTACTTAGGAATTTTAATTAAAAGAAAAACCAGAAAGGTCTGGAAAGCAACCAATATTTTGAATTATTTCTAAGCAACAGGTTCGCGAAAGTACTTTAATATTACCAAGCCAGCGCCTTGTCCCTGATACATCTTTTCAGAAACAGTTACCAGCTTTACACCTGCAGAATTAGATTATTAATTTTATAAGAGATTGCTGATTTAATTGGGCATTTTAGTGAAGTATTGCTCAAAACAAATTAAATGTACTTAATATAGTCTCTGGAAAATAAATGATTGTTTAGTTAAAAAAATAATTTTAAAAACTTATTGTTAAATCAATTTTACAGTCAACCATGCTTAGAACCCTGGTATAAATAGGCTAGCAACTAGCTTGTGCACAAGCATGTCACATGTGACATTCACAACAATTAAGACATCGACGTGACCACGAGGATCGCGAGCTTAATCGCGGTAGAAAGCTTTCAATATTATTATTGGGGTAGTCCGCGAAAAGTTGTCGTTTTTTGTCAATGTAAAAAAAATCCGCGGAAAGTTGTCGTTTTTTGTCAATGTAAACCCGCAATTGAAGCTATGAAACAAAATCAGTAAAATTAAACAAAAAACGACAAATAAGTTACCAAAACGACTCATTACTAGAAAGAAAACCATTTTCGACGACAAAGAAAAGTTCGACAAACGACGAAGAAAGTTGAGAAAGAGCTCATGTTAAGTGAACTCCAATCAACTCATTTGTCGGCGTACATTAGTTGGGTGAACCTAGCTAACAGTACGTTTTAGCACCTTCTAACATCGGGTGCAACTCTATCCGCTATCTCTATGCTATCTTTCTAACTACTTCTGTCTCTCACTCTAACATATCTTCGTTCTTCCCAAACTCACCTTACTCTTGGTCCGTAGAGCGGGTTATGACGCTCCTTGGGGAGCCGAACCTGTCTTTGCGGGCCTTGGTAATGTGGCCTCTATATGGCAATTAGCCGGAGGAGGATAAACCACAATACCAGGAAGAAAACCATTTTTTTACAGTTTTTTTAACTGTATCTGATGACCAGACTTATAATATTATGTTTTTTATAAAACATCAATAAAATATAAAAAACCTTTTTTTACAGTTTTTTTTTATCTGTGTTTGTAAACTATATTTTAAAAATGCTCCCGAAAATCTTCATATTTATTTATTTTTTTTACTTCTAGTTTAATTGAAGATCTTCTATTTGAAGGATATAATTATGTTCTAACCTCTTGTTTCCAAAGTGATCCATTGGAGCGTTATTTTTCAAAGTATCATCAAATGAGTGGTGGCAGATTTCTTGTTGGATTACGTGAAGTAATAACTTCTGAAAAAATTTTGCAAATGAGATCATTATTAAAAGAAAATTTTTATTTTTGGAAAATAGATTTAAAAACTTTCAAGTCAGTTGTAAATATAAATTCGATTTCTGAACTTTTTATTAATAATATTCAGGAATGTAATTTAGATGATAACAATAAAGAAGTTGCTATTTTTATTGCTGAATATATATGCAGAAAGTTACTCAAAAAAGTTAAATGTGAATTATGTACTTTATTGCTAAAAAGTGATCTCATTGATTTAAATACAGAATATATTGAACTACTATCCAGAGGAGGTCTCATAACTCCCTCAAAATTGCTTGCAAATCATGTTATTATTTACTTTGCTATGCTTGATGCAGTAAAAAAAGTTTACTTACAATAGAAATTCTTGACATCAGAAAAGTTAGCGAATATATTTTATATGAATATAACTTGAACCACAGCTTTATTTGTGAGGATCATTTAAAGTGGGGGCTTTCTCTTGTTCATCAGACAGTAATAAATATTTTTTATAACTATGAACAAAAGATTTTAAGTAGTGGAAAGCGCAAAGATGCTGTATTATCTTTTAAAAGAAGACAAAGGGAAAAGAAAAAAAAAGAAATGTAGTTTATGTATATATATATATATATATATATATATATATATATATATATATATATATATATATATATATTTATATATATATATATATATATATATATATATATATATATATATATATATATATATATATATATATATATATATATATATATATAGATAGATAGATAGATAGATAGATAGATAGATATAGATATAGATATAGATATAGATATAGATATAGGTATATATAGATAGACAGGTATGTAGATATATAAATAGATATATTTTGTATATGAAATCGTGATGAAACTTGCTATTAGTATTTTTTGACTTTTGCCTAAAATCTCTACGATAAAAAAATGTGTATTAAAATAGTCATATTCCTAATTTTATATTTAAAATATTAAGTTGTTCAAAAGAAAAAATTATTTGAAGTGAACTACGAAAATCAAATAAACAAATTAAAAAAAAAACTACTAGTTGTTAATAATAAAATCAACCTAAACGTTTTTAAATAAGGAAAAACTAATAAGAAAAGATATTTTACTATATAAATCTATTTAATTTAAATAATTATGATATATATTTATTAACTTAAATTAAAAAACCTAGCAATTTAATCCCGAAAACTTGTAATATTGAAAAACTGGCCTTCTAATTTTCGGCCTATTTATGCAATATATCCGGCCGTGTATAAAGTAGGCCATGTTCATACTTTTTTTATGTTTTTCAAAATTTACTTTTAAAGGCTGAATTTTGCAAAAAGAAATACTGGTGATGTAAAAATAAAAGTAGTTTGAAATGCATATGAGTTTTTTTATATATATAAAACAGGTTATAAGGTACTGTGTATGAAGATAGTTTAAAACTAGTTATAAACAATATGAGCAATGATAATATTCATTTTGTTTTATGCCAATGTCGCAATCCGAATGAAACCATTTTCTGCATCGCACACAAAAAAATTGTTTGGAGTTACTGCTTTTTCCGGAACAATTTAATAAGGTGATTTTTTATTAAAATACAATTATATTAAATGTAAAAGTTTTGAATAGTAACAAGTTGATTTATATGTTGATTTTTTAATTACTCATACTAAGTTTCACTTTAGATTAAATAAGTTAATATTTAGATCTTAGTAAAGAGTAGTTAAAGTCTTATGACTATCGTGTATCAAATGTAATAATACTTCATGGGTATGATAGAAAATATAAATTTGTGAAAGTTTTTGCATTAATATTTTATTTCCGGACTAATATATTCATTTACTTTTTAGAGGAAGTAAGATATTTTCTGATTAAGAACAATGCTTCATTAAACAATGAAGATGATAAATGTCCTGCGATGCAGAAACACCCTAGTTACATTAACTAATTACATTAAATCAACCGTATAATTGGCGAACCGTATATCGACATGCTTCGAAAGTTGGTGAAATATTTGCTGTTAACTATTTTTTATATTTTATTATTTAATAATTATTTAAATTGTATAAAAAATAGTTAAGATAATAATTGAAAAATAAATAATTATTTGTCGTTTTATTATGCATTTTTCGATTATTTTATAATCGTTTTATTATATATTTTCCAATTTTGTTTGATAATTGCTATGAATAATAGTTGCTTTTGTAATCTCATTTATTGATCGAAATTAAAGCGGGCTAATGTCCTTTTTAATAATCTCAGCCCGACGTCATTTTACTGATCTCGGCCCGACGTTGTTTTACTGATTCCGCCCCGATGTCATTTGACTCATATCGGCCGACGTTCGCAATGTATTTACATACGTTGGTCAACGTAAGTGTGCTAGCTGGGTAAAGATGTTTCTAGCTGGAAGCCCATTTTGTTGCTTTGCGTTGAACAGATTCAACCAAGGCAATATCATTTTTTAAATAAGAAGCCCAAAAAGACACTGTATATGCAAGGTCTTATAAACACTTTAAATAACTTGAGTGCTATATTTTTTTTAGTATATCAAGAATTTGTAAAGATTTAGAGACAACTGTTTTAGGTTAGATGCAAAATGACTTCCTAATTACGTCTTTTAGTAGAGCGTCTATGGCATTAATTTATACCTTGTTTATTTTGTAGAAGGTAAGTGTAATGAGGGTTGAGTTAACAGTATTGAATGGCACAGTATTTTAAAATGTTTAACATGACTAACTAAGCGTAACCAAATGTTTAACTTCCATATACCAAGTGTAGATTTGGTGTACGGTATAACTTTCGTATATCAAATATCAAGCTGGTCCTGCGGATCAATTAGATAAGTCTGCCATAATATTTTAGAAAATAAAATAGTATTAGCGGCAAATATTTCAGAAGTTTAAAAAAGTTTTTCCAGATTATTTTGTGTGGGGAAAGTAGAGGAGCAGGCCAAGAGCAGTGCTTTAAAATACACAACTGAAAGTTTTGAAGTTTGAGAATTCTGATCATTTGTTATTACAGCTAGCCGAGTAAATTTGCAACATTCTCAAAATGTAAACAACTGTAAGCAAAGACTCTGACTGGAATTGCCCCATTACTGAAATAAAATTTCAACTTTAAATGTGGGCTCATCTAGTAATAAACAGATTACCTAAACGTTGTAGCATGATTGTTTTAATAGAGTGTTCTATTTTTAAAATTATTTTTAAAATTAGTAATTAAAAAAAGTTGACTACCTGAAGACCAGATTTATTTTGATATACCATGAACTCCCGTTATCTCGAACTCCGGATAACTCAAACTTCCAGTAACTTGAAGTACTTTTAAGTTCCCCTTGAACCCTCACTTATAATTTCTCCTAAAAATCACTCGATAACTCAAACTAAAAGTCGAACGACTTTATCTATTCCTGTAGTTATTAACCTTCCGATAACTTAAACTTTATATGTTCCGGTAGTTAATATTCTTCCGATAACTTAAACTTTATAAGAAAAGTTAAAACAAAATCTCAGTAAAAGTTATTTTTTTTAATTGAGTTTTTGCCTTCAAGCGCAGTCAAGTTTTCCATCAAAATTTGACGAAATTTATTTAAACCCCAATGATGGCCTTGCATTGTCACCCTCTTTGAATTTCTTGTTTACGCCATTCTCGTCTGCTTTTGTCGTTTATCAATACCAGAGAAAAAACAAGTTGGCTTTTCTTAAACTGCTGAGATGGACTTAACAATACAATTAGATGATATTGTCTTGTTGTACAGCAAGAGTGCCAGAATGATTGAACAAAGTAAGAGAGTGACTGTACTTTTTATTGTTCTGTGTATGCGTTCAACTATACCTTTACCTTGAGTTCAATGGGCTGCAAAACTTGTTAATGTGTTGGATCGAAATTTGTTGTCCATTAAAGGACAAACTGGCGGTCCAAATAAAGAGAATATTTCTTCAAGTTTTCCGACAACTTCAGTAGCTGGCGTTAATTACCAGTTTATGCCATATTGTATACCGTGATGGACAATATTCAATCATCGATAAGTACAGTTCAGCACCTATATGCGTCAATGGCAAACCGATTCTAATTTTTTTCTACGCTAAGTTGATCATGCTTCCACTTTACGGAGAAAGGATCAATGAAGTTGCATTGGTTACAATTCACTGTTATTGCTGAAACCTTCTTACATGATACATTCTGGCTATTTTGCAAGCAAAGTTGCAATGCTGGAATGACATTAAAATGACCAATTGAATAAATTTTCCATAAAACTTTTTGTTCAAGTAACGCAGCTGTACACATTGGTCTGCACCATTTTTGAGGGATTTGTGTGAATCGATCGGCCAAATTTATTTCAGATGGAATCCATTGTACTACAATCTGGATATCTTTTGCCACTTCCGTAATAATGTTCAACTGTCTTTGTATTAGCAATTGAAAAATTCTCTATGTTTTTACGCAATATTCTTTCTTCAAAACTGCGTTTAACCATTCCACGTTGCTCTTGCTATCACTGTATACTGTTAACTCCTTTATGTCCCACTTACTAGCTTAGTTTAGTCCTCAAAGTATCAAATCCAGTTCACTTATATCGATTTGGTGTGTGTCATTCGCTGGTCGCAGCCATGCTGCTTCTTCAACGACTACTCTTCCAATGCGCAGAACTACCCCAAATTCTATGGATGTTGCATTCTAAAAATGCTCAGCTTTTCCATTTACTGGTACCAGCCATTTCCCACCAACCGGATTCTCTTTCTTCACATGGTGAAGCAACTCTGAAATTTTAGAATCTTCAGAAATAAAATTATACCAAGGAATATTTCCAGCTAAACGTTTAATGTATGAAACTTGTAAACGTAGACTTTCTCCCAGCACGTATTGTTCAATGATTTTACCTAACTGGCTAAAAAGCTGATTGTGTGACTGCATTTAAAGGTTTAAATTGTACCACATTGTTGCATTTCCATATCAGCTCCCCATTTTTATTTCTTTCGATTCTCAATCCTAAAACACGTCCTTGTTCAAGATCTTGTGGAGATTTACTTTGTAATCCGAACATATCCAGATGCTTCACTACATTTTCCGCAGTTTCCACACTTTCATCAACAAATATATCATCAATGTAAATATCACATACTTTCTTTACGGTTGGATTTAAATTGAGCACAAGCCAAAGAGTTGTGATCATTATTGTTGGAGCAATATTGATGCCAAAACACATTCTTGTAAAACAAAACCGTTTCCCATTTATAATCACCGTTTGATATGGCCAAAGTTTTTTTATCAATATGAATTTGGAGGTAGGCTTTTTTAGTTCAAGATTTTTTTATTTTTCTAAAAGACGCAGTTTTTCTTGACAAACGTTCGCATTTGTTGTGTGACAATTTACAAATTCGTTGAGAGCTCGGAAATTTCCCACTGGATGTAACTTTTTGTCTTTATTTTCTTGCACTGCGCACAAAAGCAGTTTCAATACTGTAGGTGGTCTTAATGTTAGTCGTTATATGGTAAAAGAATTCCAGAGTTAATTCACTTACTTATTTCTTTACGGTAACTACGTTCGTGCTCTTGGTTCATCTTGTATTTACAAATTGTATTATTAAATACAAGTTCTTTATTCCAGTCACATGATGCCGTCCACTTTTTCCGTCGAAGTCCTGATATTTTATTTCGTTTATTTCTTTCTCTTTATTTCTTGTCGTATTAATGGTATCAAATTTTATTTCGATTATTTTGTTTTCGTTTTTTCTTGTCGTAGAAACGACGACGTATTTTATTTCGCTTATCTCGTTCTCTTAATTTCTTTTCGTATTTATGAGACCACATTTTATTTTGTTTATTTTGTTTTTGTTTTTTCTCGTTGAAGTAACTGCACCACATTTTGCTGTGGTTAGCTTGAACTACAGCGTTGGAACATCCAGAATCAATTAATGCTGTTTGGAGCATTTCGTTTATTTTTACTTTCAACGATGGCCATGTCGTTTCTGGGAGAATACTGGATGCCATCATTTCCAAGTTCTTCCTTTTCCTTTTAAATTTTGCTACCGTTTGAAGCAGACTTTAGCTTGATGCAAACGTAAGTTCTTCAGGTTCCCGTAATAACCGTTTGAAAGTAACACTATCGTTAAAACACGTGATGAACTGGTGGCCCATCTCATATCCAAAAGTTCATCCTTCAGCAGCTCTTACAATCCGTCGTGAAAATTCCGTCACACTTTCGTTACTTGCTTTTTTATTGTTGCAAATTCAAAGCGTAGTATTAACAATGACTTTGGTTTAAAGGTGATTTTCAACTCATCCGCTTTTCTACGGGAAAGGGAAAGGGAACGGAAAAATAATCACGTGAGCATGCGCAGTTTCCTTACGGACAAATAAAAACTTTTATTACGCATGCTCACGTGGTTATTTTTCCGTTCCCTTTCCCTTTCCCGTAGAAAAATGGATGAGTGGAAACTCACCTTAAAAGCTCAAATTTTATAAGTGCGAACTGGCATAAGTACGCCAAAATAATTTATTAACATTGGCATAAGTGCAAACTGGCATAAGTGCGAAGTGGCATAAGTGCGAAATGCCAATTTGCACTTATGTTAATATTTGCAATTTTATTCAGTACACTTATGTCAATTCGCACTTATGCAATTACGCCATACGTACTTATGCCTGTTCGCACGAGAGAAATTCGCGCTCATTTAGTCATTCTCTCGAGATATATCCTACATTAAAAGTGAAATTTTTACCTTAAGTTAAATATTCTTTTGTTTGTTTTTATTTTTGTAATTTGGAAACTTTTTAACTATATACATTTTAAATGTTTTTTGGTCGGTTCTTAACGGTGGTGGTTAGAGTGCATAGTACAACTTTATACTCTCTAACCACCACTGTTGAAAAACTGACAAAAGTACATTTAGTTAAAATATAAGTTCAAATTAAAAAAAATAATTTTAATGATCTTGAAATACGAGCTTGATGACAAGACATGAAAGTTTTTTGCGAATTTCCGCGTTTCTTTTTTTAGTTTTGTTTTGTAAAAAAATACTTGTTTATTTCTTTATAAAAAAATATTAGTAAGATAGCTTTTACGACCAATTTTCACTAATAATAAGTTTAATTTAAAACATATTGAAAATTATAATTTAATATAAGTTTCTTAAAAACAACACAAAAAAACTTTTATATCATTCAAAAAAAATTATGACTTATGGCTGTGAGTATTTTAACTCTTGATTTCATTGCAATAACTAACTTCATAATTATGAAGTATGAAGTATGAAGTATAATTATGAATATCACAAAATTTGCATTCTGTTATAACAGAATGCAAATTTTGTGATATATTTTCTACTACAGCTATAAAATTTCCTCTACTATTTCTGTATAAAATTTCTCCTATTATTTCTTACACGCACACACACTCTAATAATAATAACAAAAAAGTTCACGCGCATCATGCACGTTGTTCTTGTTTTAAGAATAAAGAGTTCATGTTCACAAATTTCTAAATCTAGGTTTTGCCTTTTCAGTTGTTTATTAATTTTATTAAAGTTATTTAAACTTTTTTATTTGTTTTTAATTAAAAAAAAAAAAAAAAACAGATGGATAGAATTATAAATACTGTAATAAAAAAAGAAAAAGTTATATTAAATAAAAAAGACGACAAGGAAACTAAGTTTATCTCTACTGTATGTCATTCTCTTTTTAGTGGTATGATTTTTACTTTACATTTTTTCAATAAGCTATTTTTATAAAAAAATCCTTTATAACACAAAAAACACATTTTCTCTAAATAAAATAAGACATAATAACAAATAATAAGAAAAATGTAAACTTAAGATTTTAAAAATAGAACCAAAATCTGATAATTAAATGTTTAATTATTAAATATTTTTAAAATTGATTTATTTTTTCTAAAATAATCCATGTTTCTCATGGTGGCCACAGTTCTGGAATGTCCTGGAATGTCCTGGATTTTTGCAAGTGTCCTGGAATGTCCTGAATTGTCCTGGAAAATTACATTTTTTTCAAAAATGTCCCGAAATGTCCTAGAACTTTTTTTTTTTCTGAGTCAAGTTAAAAAACTACTAAGAATATTGAAGTAATATTAAATTTTTTATGCAAAAATTTTTTTTATATTAATGGTTTGAATTTAATTTTAAATAAGAGAGTAATAATAATATAATAATATAATAATATAATATTCTATTCTTTAATTCAATCAATATGAAAAAAATATACCGTGAAGATAATTGATAATATTCATTTAATAAGATGTAAAATGTCCTGGAAAACGCAACAAAATGTCCTGGAATTTAACTTTTAAAATTTGGATGTTTTGTTTAAACCCATTTTCTGGCACAAATATTTTGAGTTTGATATATTCTATAAATTTCATAAGAAGGCAGAAAATAGTTAAAACGGGGTAAAAGTTGTTAATATATTTTTAACATATAATTATGAAAATACAATGTTGTTCAACACAAGTTGCTAAGTGTATTAAAAGCCTGGCAAACATTTTAAGTTGACAAACTAGAAGAATTGCTGATTTTTAAAGGAAGTCATTGGTTAACCAATGAGTTGTTAAGTTAAGAATTAGGCATATGTTTCATTTTACATAATTTTTATCTTCTAAAATTGTGCTAAGAATATTTTGGCATGTTTTCTTAAGCATCAAAAATATTAGGTTTTGCAAATGTCTTGGAAAATGTTGTTAACTATATTATTGCATTAATAATAGAAACTTTTTTATTAGCACAATAAATAATGGAAATATTTTCTATATAAAATCTGAGGTTTTATTGTCGATAAACATTTCATTAATACATAAGCCTAGCTAAGCATCTGAAACAGCTGAAAATTTTTTTAATAAAAAATAGCATGCATTTTTTTGGTGTGGCAAAGTTTGTTTAAAATGAATTTATATCAATGTTGTTATTATTATACATTCATATTTCTTTAGTTCAACGGAAGACACGTTTGAATAGGTACATGTGTACCTAGGTTTTACAGAATTGAATTGTGCAATTTAGTTCTGTGTCATATTTTTGAAAATTTATTTAAAGTCTAATAAAGTTGTTTTCTTTTAAAATATGTATGATCTTAGATTAAAAAATCCTTAAATTCAATGTTGCAGCAGTTTCTAACCCATTCTCTAAATTATGCCATAAATCCTCATGAATTTTCTCTCTTAAATTTTAAAAATGGTATGTTAGGATAAATGTATCAATAAACTATCAATAGAGTTCAATAATGTAATAACATATTAATAATATAATGATTTTTAGAGCTGTGCTGGCTCCAAAATGCCTATGCAGAATTTTTCTAAAAAGGCCCATTTTTTGCAGTATTTTAATATATTATATAGTTTATTATTATATATTTATATTATTATATAGTTATATTATATAGTTTTACTATATATATATATATATATATATATATATATATATATATATATATATATATATATATATATATATATATATATATATATATATATATATATATATATATATATATATATATATATATATATATATATATATATATATATATATATATATATATATATATATATATATATATATATATATATATATATATATATATATATATATATATATATATATATATATATATATATATATATATATATATGAGTTTGAGTTTGAGTTTGATATATTCAGTAATCAAATTTATACATTTAAACAGCAATAATGCTGTAACAATAATTAAAAAATATATACATATGTATATATTTAAATGTTAAATTATTTATTTGATGAAGAGACTTTTTCAGGAGTCTCTATGCTGATTTAACAGTTTATCGCATCGAAATCCGATCTTTAAATGCATTTAAAGATGGAGCGTTTACCGCGTGCTGTGTGAGAGAGTTCCAATGGACCGCAACTCGGTTTGTGAAAAAGTTTGATCTCTCCTCACATCCTCTTACGAATTGACGATGAAGCTGCTTGTCATGGCCGCGTAGGTTGTACACCTCACGCCCAATTAGTTAGTGCTGTGGGACCATAAATTGAACTTCGTCATAGTTGTTGAAAATCTTGAGTTGTTCGATTATATCACCACGCAAACGACGTTCTTTGAGGGTGGTTAGTTTGAGTACCTGCAGACGCTTTATTTTATCAAAATGGCTGATGGATGATATTATCTTAGTGACGCGGTCTTGAACATCCTCAAGTAACTTAATGTCTGTTTCAAGATACGGGGACCAGGCTTGAATGGCCAATTCTAGATGTGGCCGGACATAAGATATATAGAGTATGCGCCACAAGTTTAAGTTTCTACTGCGGAAAGCATTTTTTAGCTTTCCTAACATGCGATTGGCTGCGGATGCTGCTTTTTCAACTTGTGTTCTGACTTTCGGATCGTTTGATATGAGAACTCCAAGGTCACATTCAATAGTTGTAGTTGCAATAGTGTGGCGCATGCCATCAGCGGTTTCTATAGAGTAGTCATGTGATAAACGATTATTAGGACGACCTGCATGCATCACTTTACATTTATCAATGTTAAAGTGCATGAGCCAAGTGTTTGACCATGTAACCGCGTTATCAATATCTGCCTGAAGCGTTGTGTTATCCGATGCCGACTTTATGATCCCAATAATTTTGCTGTCATCAGCGTATAGCATTATCTTGTGAACGATACTATCAGGAAGGTCGTTAATAAACAAAATAAAAATATATATATATATATATATATAAATATATATATATATATATATATATATATATATATAAATATATATATATATATATATATATATAAATATATATATATATATATATATATATATATATATATATATATATATATATATATAAATATATATATATATATATATATATATATATATATATATATATATATATATATATATATATTCATTCATTTATTACATTTGTAGTAAAAACTTACGAGAAAATAAAAAAAAACATTTAAAGGAAGAAAAAAAAAAAAATTGTGGTTAAGACTAAAAATTGTGACTAAGAAAATAAAAAAAAACATTTACAGAAAGAAAAAAATATATATATATTAAATATTTTTATTAATACAAATTATAAATTAAGAACTTTAATCATTTATATAAAAGAGTTTTTAACCACCAGTAAAATGAAAGTAAAGTGGATTGCCAAATCATTAGGGACACTTTACTTTTTCAATAATTTTAAGTTTTAACTACTTTAATGAATAAATACATATCTTGAGGTTATTTTTTAATTAATTTTATTGTTAGAAGAGAGGAGAGCTTTATCTAGAATATAAAACGACATAATTACTTACTCATAACTATTTATTTTTTTATAAAAACTTTTAGCATAACAAATAAAGTAATAATCTCAATATTTTGTAATGCCACCCTTTGCTACAATAATAGCTTTCAGGTGTTGGGGCATGTTTTTTATGTGGACTTTTGTATTGTATTGGTGATGGGTTGTTGTGCCACTATTTTATAAGGGTTTCTATCAATTGCTGTTTAGTAATGATGATTTCTTTGGCAATTTCCTGTTTTATTAACTCCCATATTATTTTTATGGGGTTCATATAAGGTGTTATTTATTATTCTTATAAGGTCATATAATTTCTCAGCCATAGCAAAACAGCTTTTTTTTGGGCGCCTATACCGGTAAAACCGTACTAAAACATGTCTGGGTTCTTCACTGAGTTTACAACTTCAAGAATTTTGTTTTTTAATGTTATGACTGGCTTTTCACCTCTGCCAATATAAATAACTTTGCATTTGGCAATATTGAGAAGCATTTTATTATCGTTGCACCATCTTTGTGTATCTGCCAATTCTTGTGGAAGGGAAGAGTTATTTCCTGTTATGTAAGCTAGGATATCATCTGCATATTTCTTGTGTGTTATGCCCTTCAGGAGGTAGTCATTTATCTCTAGTACATAGATTAAAAAGAGGATTGGGCCAAGGACGCTTCCTTGTATTACTCCTGATAAAACATCTTTCCATTCAATAGGCTTGCTGTTGAATATAATATGTTGTTTAAGGTTTGAAAACCACTTTGCAATCCAGGATGATAACCATGATGGAAGGTTAATTTCAAGTTTGTGCATAAGGATAATGTGGTCAACAAGCTCAGATGCTTTTGAAAAATAAAAAAATTTAGCAGTTAATGAGGTATTGCGGTCAATAGCGTATCCCCAGTCATCAATTACTTTTATGATGGCATCAATTGTATTTCTATCAGGAAGAAAACCAAATAGGCTATTTGATAATAATTTATCTTGAACATAGGATATAACGTGTTTGAACATAGGATATAATAGTGTCAATTATTTTGCATGTTGCAGATGTCACAGAGATTGGTCAGTAGTCAAATGGTAGAGAAGGATTATTGACTTTTGGAATAAGTATGATGTTTGCATAAAGCCATTCAGATGGTACAATCCATTTGTTAATAAAATGGTTAAAAATTATAACAAGAGCTTCAACTAGTTCAATACCTGCCGCATATAGTAGTTTGCCAGATATGCTGTCATGACTAACTGGTGTTAATTTGATGTGTTTGTGTTGTTCACTGATGTTAGAGAAGGTGAAAATAGGCAATTCTGGTGAAGAGGCAAATGTATTTAAATATGGTGAAAAATCTGGCTTAATAATTCCTTGTCAAACTATATCTAAAAATTGCACATTTAGTTTTGCACCAAATTCAGTACCTGTCGGTAAA